ATCAAGCTGATGACGCCCGGGGGTCCTCGTTTGCCAGTCATGTCTCTGCCCAGCCCCACCTGTAGAGGATGCCCATCATACTCATGGTCATAATCATGTAACAACCTCTACATAATTAACTTCTTCCCCCCCCATTCCCGCAGCACTGAAATCCTTATGCTCACTTACACAGTAAGAGAAAGGATAAAAGAATGTATCTTTATCAAAGATTTATATATATATATATATATATATATATATATATATATATATATATATATATATATATATATATATATATATTTTTTTTTATGAATGGCAGGGTATTAACATATTTGTATTGTATGATTATTTGATAATTTTGAGAAAATGATACAAGACAATTAAAGGATAAAGAGAGAAAGAGAGAGAGAGGAGGGAGGAGGGAGGAGAGAGGAAAGAGGAGAGACTAGGGAGGAGGGAGGAGGGAGGAGAGAGGACGGAGAAGAGAGGAGGGAGGGAGGAGAGAGGAAGGAGGAGAGAGGAGGGAGAGAGGAGAGAAGAGGGAGAGTGAGAAGAGAGGAGATAGACAGATAGATAGATAGATAGATAGATAGATAGATAGAGAGAGGAAGGGGGGAAATGAAAATAGACCATGAGGAATTTATATCACTGTTTCCTAGCAAAGAAAACAAACTACTTTTAAGATATGGGTCACTAAACTTTGGAATTTCCTAATAAATTACCTATAATAAAACTAAGAGAGTTTCATAGGTGTAAAAACATTTAGCAACACACCATCATCAAACGTATTTTCATTACTTTTTACAGTTATTATGATGCTGCTTTGGAAAAGAAGCTAATCCATCATGAAATAATACACAAAAAAAAAGCTAATAAAACAAGAATTAACAACATAATCAGTATCTTAGTAGAGATATAAAAATTGGCAACACTAAATTCTTTCCTTTACTCTTAGTAAAATAAGTTATATTTTCTTCCTATATCAACTATACTCATAATGTTTGATTTCTCCAATATTTCCTTTTCTGATCGTATCCACATAAAAAACATACTCTTAACTACTTTACCAATGCTAGTTAGAAGTACCTTAAAAAAAATAATAATAACATTAAACAAATAATTAAATGAATAAATAAATAAATAAAATAAATTACATAAATGATAATAATAATCCAGAAAAAAAACAATGATTTCCACTCATGAAACTTATACACAATCATATATAGTATATCTATAAAGAGACTTGGCTGTCTTTCTTAATATCAAACTTATTCTTAAACTTGTCATATTAAGTCTCTTATGCAATTTTATACCATTCATCTTTATGCAGTTTTCAGTAGAATATACTCATACATATAACCAGACAAACCAATAGGATGTATATTATGTAAACTATACTCCTCATCATAATAAAAAGGCTTTCAAAGAGAAAAAGAAAAGAAAAGGAAAAAAAAATATATATATATATATATATATTGTAATAACCCTCCTCTATTTCAAATTGGCTTCGAGATTTCCATGAGTGAAATTCATTTATCAAATTCCAGGCATAGATCTGATTAGTATCAGCTAGATGAGATTAGATTCCATACCAAGCTAAAAGAGAGTAATATTTAACCCCTATGGTCCAGATGACGTGACCATCACATCGTGGAAAAAATCTGGCTTGAGGGGCAGGTGACATGAACATGGGAAAATTGGCTGTAGGCTGGGGTGATTGCCAACATGAGCATTTCAGCTGAAGGGCAGGGTGACGGAAAATACTCCCCAACGAGTACACAAACTTCTTGGAGGGTGATTAGATTCTTTTGGCATTTATAAAGGGACTTCTGCATTATTTCTATTGAAAATGAGTGTGGAATGTAGTGTTCATGAGCCATAACTGGCTCCAAGAAGGATTCCATTTCCATGCTCAGCATCCTATTCCTGGCTGCTGTGACCAGTAGTGCAGGTTGTATTACAGAAAACTGAATAAAAAAGTTACTTATTGTTATTATTCTTGCATAGAGTTATGGGCTACCTTGATAGATGTTATGGAGTCTATGCATGGAAAAAAATCTATCACTATCTGGATAAATCAAATCAAATGACAAACATGGACATTGGCAAATGACGCTTATGCATAAAAAGGGAAAATAATAATGCAAAGGGGAGGCCATCAAGGTGGCTGTTCACGTAAGCCTAATGCCTGTATTTTGGGCCATGTAGTTCTTTGAAGCAAACAGATCCAATGGCTTAAGCACTGTTTGTAGTCAGCTGTGAAGAAAAGAAGACAGAACAGAATGAAGGAAGAAGAAAAGATCAAAAGATAAGACTGGATTTCAGATTTCAAATGGGTTGATTCAGAAGCAAGCCACATTCTCATCACTGCCATAACATTTATGCAACCACGAGTTATCTATCTCTTGCAGTTCATTCTTTATTGTTACTTATATCATTTCGATGTCCATTAATAAAGAGTAGTATGTGGGTGTGGGTGTGAGTATGAGTGTGTGTGTGGGTGTGAGTATGAGTGTGTGAGCATGCATGTGTGTGTGTGTGCTCATGCATGCTAATGTGCATATTTATTAGTGTGGATTTTTCAGCTCAGACTACCTTCCCTTTCCACATGGCTTTTATTCCTACACTGCATGGTCATAGTTGTACAAGCACGTCAGCTATCACTTGGAGTACCGACAAAGCTTATTCCATATTTCTTTATCTGATTCTATGTTTCTTTATCTGTACTGATTCATAGGTGACTGACACATCTAGGCACCTATGTATCACACACAGGTATAAACACACACACAAACTCTCACTTACACAGTTGAAATTTCACCAGAGGAAGGAAAAATTTACAGCCATAGCAGAGACTTGAATTTAGACAGGATTCAAGTCTAGACAGGAGTGTGTGACTGTGTGAGTGAGTGAGTGAGTGAGTGTGTGAGTGAGTGAATGAGAGAGAGAGAGAGAGAGAGAGAGAGAGAGAGAGAGAGAGAGAGAGAGAGAGAGAGAGTGAGTGAGTGAGTGAGTGAGTGAGTGAGTGTGTGTGAGTGAA